GAACTGATAGCTGGGAAACCAGCATAGAACTGATTCAGGCCCCCTGAACATGAGTGTCAGTTAGAAGGCCTGGACAATCTGTTGGGCTTCTGGTAGTGGATCAGTATTTATCTCTAGTGTACAAATAGACTTTGGGAGTCCATTCCACATAAAGGGATACTCTCTCAGCCTAGAAACAAGGGGGAGGGTCTGGGCCCTGCTCCAAATTATATGCAAGACTTGAAGATCCCCAATAGAAGGCCTCACCCTTCCTGGGGAGCAGAAAGGGGATGGGATAGGGGAATCAGAGGGAGGCAGGGGAGGAAGGGAGGGAACTGGGATTGACATGTAAAAAATAAAAGCTTGTTTCTAATTTAAATAAAAAACAAACAAAAAAAGATTTTGAGAACTCTAAAAGAAGTTTGCATTATGAGATTGATGTGGGCATTTGAGGACAGGGGGTAGACTGTTATGGTCAAAAGGAACATGTTTGGGTGTCAAGGAGTTGACAAGAAGTAGACTTATGATGTTTACTTTTCACTGTTAATTTGATTTGGAATCACTTAGGAGACTCACTTCCAGGTGTTTTTCCACACTGGGAGAGTGTTTTCAGGGAGGTTTAACTGGAGAGGAAAAATGCACTCTGAATGTGCGTGCCACCATCCCGCTGACTCCGGCCCCAGGTGGACTGAAAATGGAAAATGGAAAAATGAGATGAGCATCAGTGTAGGTCTCTCTGCCTGGCTGCAGACACAACGTGACAAGATGACTTGCTCCGTTGTCACCACAGTGCTCTCCAAATGTGAGCCAAAACAAGCCCTTCTTTTCCTCAATTGCCTTTGAACAGGAATTTTGTCATAACAACAAGAAAAGTAACTAATACAGCTAAAATATTATCACTTCCACGCATGATCATTATCTTCATTTTGTCTTAATTGTCAACATGATACAGCCCAGGGCCTTCAGGAAGGAGAAGCCTCAATTGAGGACTTGCCTAGATCAAGTTGGTCTGTGAGATGTCTATGAGAGAGGGTCTTGATTTTTAATTGATGCAGGAGAGTCCACTGTGGGCAGCACCATCCCTCAGGCAGCGGTCCTGGGCTATATAGAAAAGCTAGCTGAACATGAGCCAAGGACTGAGCCAGCAGGCAACAGTCTTCCATGATTTCCTGCTTTAAGCTCCCGCTTTGAGTTCCTGCCCCAATTTCCATCAATGTTGAATTATGACCTGGAAGTGTAAGCCAAACCCTTCCCAGCCCCCAAGTTGTTTTTGGTTAAAGTCTTTTATCACAGCAACAGAAATCAAACTAAAGCAACCATAAAAACCCATTGAGCTGGTTGGTGGCTCCCGCAGTGGCCTGTGTAGTTCTAGATGCTGTATTAAGGCTAAGGTGATGAAGGATACTGTTCATACCACCATGGAGTTGGTGACCCAGCAAGAGAGACAGACAAGCAATCCACCATGAAACAACACGGAAAATGCACAATCAGGGTTTGTTGTGGTTTGAATGCAAGCTGTCCTCCATAGCCATGTGTTTGGACACTTGGTACCCAGCTGATGTTGCTGTCTGGGAGAGCTGTAGAACCTTTAGGACAGGAACCTTGCTGGAGGAAGTGGCTCACTAGGGGTGGGCCTTGAGATTTAATCACCTGGCATTACTTCCTGTTTACCCCTGCTTCCTGACCGATGATACCTCGTGACCAGCTTTTCTCCCCCATCTGTTACCATGCCTTCCCCATCATGATGACTGCCTGTCCTCCAACTAAACCAAAAGAAACCTTGCCCCCTTCTGTAACATCTTGTAAGATGTTTGCCCATTGCAACAAGAAAAGTAACCAACACTGCGCTATCTTCAAGATGTTACAGGAAGAGAGCATCTTCTGTTGGTGGAGTTGAAAGCTCTTTGCCTGATGGAAGGTAACAGTGACCATGGGTTGGCTTAGTTGGCACAGATTCCTAGGCACAAAAGTCCAGCCTTGTTTTCCCCGTTGCATCTGCCTTCTTTGCTATTCGATAAGCATTGTTACTGGATAGATACTAAAGCCTATTGTTCCTTTGGTGGCACTCTAGCTGATGTTTGTCATTTTCTCTCAGATGAGCCCCAGTTTTTCTTGTGACCTTGAGGATGTAGGAACCAGCATCAATACCCCATAGTTTGTTTCCATCCTATGAGTTGTTTTGTTTGTTTTGTTTTTTATTTTTTGTTTTTCGAGACAGAGTTTCTCTGTCGCTTTGGAGGTTATCCTGGAACTCGCTCTGTAGACCAGGCTGGCCTCAAATTCACAGAGATCCACCTGCCTCTGCCTCCTTAGTGCTGGGATTAAATATGTGCTCCACCATCTCTGGCTGCTAGTGGGGGTTTTTAAGGTTACACAGCATCAAGAAGAGATAAAAGGAGCCAGAGAAGAAGCATGGACTTAATTCAGACAAGCATTCTGGTGCCCTGCTGTAAGTGGAGAATTCTGGATTTCCAGAAGGCTGGAGCACTGTGGCTAGCTCTTTCCATCCTTTGTCTGTAGTCATCAGATGCTACACCCTGTAGCCGTATTTTCCTTGTCTCCTTTCTAAATCAGCCATAAATCATTGTCAATGCTGAGATTTCCACAAAAATTCCCTGTGGTTTCTCTTCGTCTGGCACTCCGACTCTCACGTTGGGTTCCCACTGGCAATAATGTCGGCATCTGCTCTCTTTCCCCGCACTGTTTGCAAATGCTTTGAGATCAAGTCCTTGATCACTACTCCAAAGTTCAACTTCTGCTCTCTCGGAGCCAAAACACACACTGCATTATCCAGTTTAAATAGTTTCCGATCCTCGTCTGGGTGGCAGGCTTCATCAGCTCCCCCTCATTGGCATTCTCCTCCGTCATTGCTCTTAATCCTCACTGGAGGGGAGATTAACTCTGGTCTTGAAGCGTGCGAACAACCGTTCCCTGCTTCATTCCCTTGCACCCACGATATCGTGGACTTGGTTTACAGACTCTCAAAGGCAAGTTATTGGAGCCCATCTGTTTGGTTTTCCACCCTTGGCCTAAGGTGTGTACAAAAGCTTCTGTGGAAGAGCATTTTCTGTAGGTTAGTTTCTTCTCTCTGGCTTGAAGCATGCATGGTTTTCATGTTTGAAATGTGTGTGCGGTTTGGTGTTGGTTTGGGATTTCTAAGTGCAAGTACACATGCCTTTGGGTTCGCTTGGTTTTGTTTACATACTCTCCTGAACCACTTATCTGGACATTTCTTCAGTAGAGCTGGGAATGCCATTCTGAGCACCGTCAGACAGTGACATTTTTACAAGTGGTCCTTTGGGCATAGACACTGTTTCTGGTCTCGTGAGAAATACACGCTTATATGCTTATATGTCAGTATACTCATGCAAAGCTAGTACAGAAATTAATAGGGAAATACGCCTGGTCAAACCCAACAGCCCACAGGAATCACATCTACACCATCAGGAAAGCTCTCCTCAGGTTTTCAAAGATACGTTCACATTTATATGAACATCAGAGGGAATCACAAATTCAAATGAAACTCACTAATATTCTCACGCTACAGACAGTAACATTTGGAAGGTGCCCCTGTATCATTTGCTACCCTGTTTTGAGGCAGGACTATCATCATCTTGTTTACAGAAGGGAGCCTCAGTGACTCATTCAGGGGTTCACAGTCAGCTTAGGGAAAGGGTACAGCCAGACAGTTCACAGAAGAGAAAACTCAATCGCAGATAGAAAAATGTTCAAGACTTCTAGTAATCAAATAAACATAAATTAAGTCCTTAGGTATCATTCTGTCCTATATGTGGTGGGGCGGGAGTGGGGAGGGGTGGGGGAGGGCCACTCTTTCAGCAGCAAAGTCAGGCAGTGGAAGCTTTCTGGAAAGCCTTTGTTAAACTTAGGAATAACAACTTCCCTTTAGCCCAGGAATCACATCAGGAATTTCTTCCTAGAAATTAAACAAACAAAAAAAAAGTATTTCTTAGTTATTCAAAAGAATGGTCCAGATGTAGCAGGGCTGGTGGAAGTGGGAAATGGAGGTATTCTAAAGAGACATTTGTGTCCGCCAGTTGTTCAGACTGTTAAAACAATACCCGACCCCAAATGGGAATTTCCTGAGAAATCTCATGCTCTGAGAAGGAAAAGGGACCAGACAGGGGCATATGTCTCCTGGAAGGAGATTTTTACACAGTTCTAACAACTTGTGGAACCACCTTACAGAATGAGACCCAAGCCCAGGCAAGCAGAAGTCCACGGTGGGCGGGACCACACCATGACCTCGACCTCTCTGACTATATGTCCTTGGCCTCCCACTTAAACTTTGATTTTCCTTCAGGGCCCCAAATGTGGACTTCAGGGCATCACTGGATCTCACTGCCCCTCTTCCCAATGTGGCCACATGGAATAAATCTCCTTTTCCTGCTTTTTTGTTTGTTTGTTTGTTTAATTTGACTCTTATAGTTGGGCTCATTGAGGATGGGTGTCTGAACCTGACTTGGGGCAAAGGTTGTGACCCCCAAGGTTGGTAACAAAAAGGACTAAAAATTTGCTGCTGCATCCTTTATGTTATCAAACAAAGAGCAATCTACAATTCCAAATACAGGCAATATGTTAATAAACTACACAACATCAATGAGCTAGAATACTACATGAGACCCACCTGAGTGCTGAGACCATAATTATGAGTGATAATAAAAGCATTAAAAAAAACTATGCAATGGCAAGTGAACAAGTGTGGACATAAAATTGTGCCTGCTTTATGATCATAACTATGTATTATTATACATATACAAGGATCAGCATGGGTCATAAAATGACAATTCCCGAGTGTCAGATGGCAGGGTGCTGACTCTGTTTCTTCCCATTTGGGTTTCGTTGTTTTCCACATGTTGTAAAATCAAGAGTGGGGACAAAATAGAAAATGCTGTTCTTATCTCTTGGTAATATATAATTTCTCTGATAAGTCATAGAATCTTTGGGTTTTTTGTTTATTTTGTCTTTAACTTCATGTGTATGGGTATTTTGCCTGTTTGCAGTGCCCTTGCAAGCCAACAGAAGATGCTGGATCCCCAGGGATTGGATTTACAGAAGCTTGTGAGCTACCAAGTAGGTGCTGGGAATTGAACCCAAGTCTTCTGGAAGAAGAGCCAGTGCAACCACTGTTAACTCTTCAGCCCCTCAAAATCTTTGACTTTGGGAGCTGGAAGAGATTTTTTAGGCCTTGGTATAGCTTTCTGGTTGTACAATCAACACTTGGAGGTGTTGACAGATTTTTCTGTCCAGCCCAGTCCCACCAACCCTCAGCTCAAATAAACACACAGAGGCTTACATTAATCATAAACTGTTTGACTGATAGTTCAGGCTTCTTACTGGCTATCTCTCTCTTAATTATGAACCCATAGCTACTAATCTATGTATTTCCACATGGTCTCGGGCTTACCGGTGATGCCTGGTTCCCTTTCTTCCTCAGCAGCTACATGGTGTCTCTCTTGACTCACTCTGCCTTTCTTTTCCCAGAATTCTCCTCATCTGGTAGCCCCACCTATACTTCCTGCTGGCTACTGGCCAATCAGTGTTTTGTTACACCAATAAGAGAAACATATATTCACAGCATACAGAAGGCTACCCCCATCACTAAGACAGGAAGGGACCGAGCTGCTCGGTGGCTCACATCTAATTATCATTCAGAACTTCCAAAGGATCCCCAGTATGAGGGTGAGGTGCTTACCCTGCAGGGAAGTGAGGTTGCTTGATCCTCGGCTTGAAATGCTAGTGAAGAATGGCTGGCTTAGCCCAGTTCTACACCCTTCTCTAGGATCTGTCACCTCCCCCTTTCCCCACCTGGAGGAAACTTTAAGCTAAAACAAGAGTCCTGTCTTACTCATATCTAGCAGCACACATTGTGTGTATTTTTGGCACTTCACAAAATGTCAAAATATTTATAAGGAAGATGAATATTTCAATAACAATGGGAAAGCCGCTAGTCATTTTCTAGTGATGACAAGAGCAGGAATGCAATTAAGATTTGATAAATCAATTGAATTTCACCTTCCAACACTTAAGAAGTTTTCTCATACTGACTAGTGAAACCCTCTAAACTTTGTAAAAAAAAAAAAACCCCTAGTTTCTGGAATAGAAATGAAGATCATGAGTAGATACAGAAATGTTCGAACAGTCTTGCAGAGGGCTCTCTTATCTGTAACCACAGAAAAAGAAAACCCCCATGTGCAATCCCAGGTCTGGAGAAGTCGAGGTAGGTGTGAGTTCAAGGCCAGCCTGGACTGATGGCAAAGTCAGCCTCAAAGTAACAAACAAAACCATAAAACAGGATATCCCCAGGAAGAGAGATCTATGTGACTGCCGAGACATTCTATGGTATATGTGTATGTGTGTGTGTACGCGAGTGTGTGTGCCCGTGTGTGCATGCATGGGTCCTCGGGTGTCTTCCTAACCATTTTCTACATTGTCTTTGGAGACATGGCTTTTCATTGCACCCAGAAGTTGGAGGCTGGAGTGGCTGGCCAGTGAGCCCCAGAATCCTGTCTGCCTCCCCAGCACTGGGATTGCTGGTGTGCTCCCCAAATGTGTGTTCTCTTGCTTTCATACCAAACGCTTTACAGACTGTAGAAGAGAAATTAGTAGAATCATTTTATCTCAGGTAAACATTCGAATGAAATAGTTGTTTTCACTGTATCTAGGGTAAACTTCAGAATGACTAGTTGTTTTCTTGAAGAAATCATTGTGGACAACAGTGATTTCTGTGGTTTATAGAGCTGATATTCTGAAGGGACTTTACAGCCTTTGCATGACTTTGGTTACAAGATGGTCCTGGCACACCTGGGTTATCTTGGATTACGGGGTATTGCCAACAGTGCAAATCAGGGACTTTGGTATGTGGAACTCATTTCACCCCCATAACAACTTATGTGTGATGATCAATAAATATGCCTTTACACGGCTATTCATAGAAATGGCTCCTCTCTGCCGCATCTTGTAGTGACACTCTTTCTTTGTCCCAGAAGACACAGAACGCCCCACAACAGACTTAGCTATCTCCCTGGCCCCTGAGACTCTTTGTTCGTAAGCTTCCTTTAGATTAAAATAGCTTCCCAGTGGGCTCCAGGACAGACAGGGAAATGCTGAAGCAGAATCAGAAGGGGCAAATCGGTGGGGACAGCAAGGTTGCTCAGTTGAGAAGCAGGACACGAAGTCAGCAAAGCACCTACGTGAAAGGACTTGGTGCTCACACTGAGATCACAACACACCGAAGTGGGTGGCTTTAGCTCCCTGAGTACAAGGGGACTTCCACAAAACAGCGGCAGCAAAGGGCAACTTTGGGACAGCCATGCCCTGGGACTCTCTGCACTTCACCTTTAGCAGAGCAGAAAGCCGCACAGGCTATGAGTGCCGGAGCAGAGCCCTGCAGTCTCACTGAGTCTGTTGGGAAGGCCAAGAACACCAGTGAGTAGCGGTTCAGGGAAACGCCGAGCAAAGTGAAAATAAGAGAAGAATAAGCAGCAAGAGAGGACACTTTTTTTTTTTTTAAATGAGATCTCACGTCTACACGCAATCCTGTAGAGTCATGTTGTTCTGTGTTCGGGATAAAAACTACTCAAATTTCATCATCTCCTTCTGCCCTTCCCAACTCTAAGCCAGTTTATAATCCATGGAATTCTGTGATATTTTCCTTTAAGTTACATACAATTCAGTGCCTTTCAATCTAACTATATATCAGACTCTCCCACACAATAATAAACACCGTTGCCTAGAATCTGAATCTAACAGTAAACCCAAGGCAGGAATGCGTGTGTAAGTTCCGAGATAGTTCTATGAACAAGCAAGCGAGGAGGTCCAGTGTCCCAAGAGCGGTGAGAAGCCTTCTCATTTTAATGTGTATACAGTCACCCGGGGATCTTGTTAAAGTGCAAATACTGGTTGGGTTGGTTCACTGGGGACCCAGGTGCTGAACAGCTAACAACCTCTCCTGGTGTGCTGATGTTACCATGTACAAACAAAGGTAGATAAGAAATTCTCAAGTAGAGCAGACAGAAATAGGAACAAAACTATGAAATTTTCTTCTGTCACTAGAGAGGCTTCCTCCAGCAACTGATGGAAACAGATGCTAAGACCCACAGCCAAACATTAGGTGAATCTTGGGGAATCCTGCAGAAGAGGGGGCAGGAAGGGTTGTAGGACCCAGTGGTGTCAAGGACACCACAAGAAAACCCACAGAACAAACTACCTGGGCTCACAGAGATTGAACCTACAACCAGGGAGCCAGCATGGGACTGCTCTAGGCTCTCTGCATATACGTTACAGTTGTGTAACTTGGTCTTCCGGTGAGACTCTTGACAGTGAGAGCGGGAGCTGTCTCTGACTCTGCTGCCTGCTTTCGGCACCCGTTCCTCCTATGGATTGCCTCACCCATCCTTAGAGGAAGAGGAGGCTGCAACTGGACATACCATGGCTGACATCCACAGAAAGCCGCCTGTATCTGAAGAGAAACAGTGGAGGAGGAGTGGATTGGGGGTGGGGTGCCTGAAAGAGGGGAACTTTGATTATGATGCAAAACAAGAAAATAAAGAAACAAAAGTTTAAACAGTGGAGGAGGGGTGGATGGGGGGCCACGGAAGCGCGGAGCTTTGATTATGATGCACAGAGTACAGAGCATGCCTGGGGTGGAGGGCTAGCAGTACTGTGGTGGTGGCAGCCTGAGTACTGGTGACTCTTAATTTTCTATTGTTGATAAAGTATCATGAGCAAAAGCAACTTGGGGAGGAAAGGGTTTATTGCAGTCTACAATTCTCAGGCCACACCCCATTATTGAGGGAAGTCAGGGCAGGAACTGAGAGGCAGGAGCTAAAGAGAGGCAACGAGTGGAGGAGGAGCGCTGCTCACTGGTTGCTACCCATGGCTTGCCCAGCCTGCTTCCTTACACCATCCAGGATCACTAGCCAAGGGGTAGTACCGCCCACAGTGGGTTGAGCCCTCCCACAGAAATCGTTCATCAAGAAAACATCCCACAAACTTCCTTATAGGGCAGGTGATGGGACACATTGCCTCAATTAAGAGTCCCTCTTCCCAGATAGGTCTAGGCTTGCGTCAACTGACAAAGCAACCAGTACAGTGACAAGACCTTACACCAAGTGTCAGGCACCGTCCACGTGAGTTATGAGTAGTGAGGAAAGGTGGGAAAGAGAGCACCATGTGTGCAACGTGGTAGACAGGGCAGGAAGTTAGGCAGAAAGCAACAGGAACGCGACTGTGGAAGGCGGGGCAGAGCATGGGGGCCAGCTTGGTTTCTAATGCAAAGCACACATCAGGATAGCGTCTCCCACCTTAGCCATTCTGAGGAGTGCAGCTCAGGGGCTCTGCACATTACACTGCTGTGTCATGGTCACTGCCCATCTGCAGAGTCCCTCCATCTTGCAAAATAAAATTCCGCACTGACCCACCTTCCATGTCATGTATATAATGATTAGTTTATGTATCTTTAAGGTCCACATGTCTACCCTGAGTTGGACTAATGTAGCCCAAGCAGGCTTCCACATTGCTATACAGCCTAGGGTGGCCTTGAAGTCGTGAATCTCTGCCTCTGCCTTTCAGTCCTGGAACTGCAGGTGTGCAGTCCTTCGATGGACAGAATGCCACTGCAGCAGATGCGACATGTTGTTTACTTACCTGATGCTGACAGTCACTTGAGGTAGTCCCACTTTGGGGCTATTACATATAATGACACTACAAGCATGGGTGTGCAAGGAGCGCTGTAGGACTTTAAAAAGTTCCTTTTGAAAGTACAGGCAGCCACAGGACTGCTGGATCACAAAGAAGGTCTGCTCTTAACCGTGACAGGAACACTGCCCCGTTTTCCACTGTCCACTCTCACCAGCAGCGCGGGACTTTCTAATGTCCCCATAGCACTATCTCCCCCTCCTCCCCTCCCCGCTACAGGGAACTGAACCTGGGGCCACATAAGAGGCGACCACTCGACCACTGGGTTATTTTTTTTCTTTTAAATCATGTGTCCGCATTCCTGTTGAGTACAGGTGCCCCTTGGAGGCTAGAAGGAGGTGTTGACTCCCCCTGGAGCAGGAGTTAGGGACGGTGGCGAGCCACCTGTTGTAGGTTCTAGGAGCAGAACCAGGTCTTCTGTAAGGGCAGAACTTGTTCTAAACCACTGAGCCATCTCTCCAGCCCCATTCCCCCCCCCCTTTTTTGTTAGTAGTCACTCTAACGAGCATGAGGTATTTATTATCTCATAGTGGCTTTGAATTTTATTTTCTAATAATGAGAACCCTTAAACAATTTTCACATCATTGGTCACTATT